AGAGGGTGGCCAAGAGTCCAATGCCAGTGTCCATGGGGGTGCAGCTACCTCAGGCTTGACTCTGGCCAGCGTCCACACTGAAGTGGTCCTACAGTCGTGAGTTCTAGGACAGAATTCGTGGCACCCACCGGCACAACTGGTACCTGCAACAATGGCAGGTAGGAGGAGCGACAGCATGTGAAATGGTCAGTCTTCTCCCGGTCAGTCTTCTCCCGGCCTTCTCCCAGTCTTCAAGTCCGGGCAGTACCAGAACTCTGGCTAAATGACCTGGTGTTCAAGACTGGCCTCAACCCTCCCCCCACCCTCAACCCACCCCCCACCCCCGAAACTGGAGAGAAACCCACAGCTGGAATCCAAGGAAATGGAATAACGGAGCACCATGTGGTGAGAAACAAGATGGCTGCCCTGTGGGCTCCTGAATGTACAGATGACATTCTCATTACCACCAGGCTGATATTACGTGTGCTCAGGCCCTAGCAACTGCCCCGGGGCTGAGAGTGCCTAAGGGAGCATAGATATTGGTACAAATCCCAAATTTATCTCTTCCTGATTCCCACAGCAATATCTTAGGTCCTTAGTTAAGTTATTCAAAAATATCGTAAACTCTACAAATAAAATGCTATTCTTGTTCCCGAAGAAAATAAACCAAAAGACAAAGAAAAAAAAAATCCATTATGTGATTCTTAACAAAAAAAAAAACCAAAACCCATTTTTCATCTGTGCAACAAATATCGAATATTATTTTCAGTTCCAAACATACTGAAAGTCTTTATTTAATTTCTCATCGAACTGCTCAGAATAAAATAATGTAGAAAGTAAGAGCCGCCTTTCAGTTGAAGTCTAAATATAATATCACTCAGGAATCTAAAGATGAATTCATTTTAGTGGTAAGGGAGACATTTGATTTTGAAATAAAATCGGTAAGTATAGTGTATGATTTCAATAATCTTTTCATTTTGAAGTTAATTTATGAAAGAAAGATCTAGAACGATCAGGAAAATTCTGTCGTGTCAACCTGATCTACCAAAACACGGGGGAATATTGCTTGACGGCCGCTGAAAGGCCCGCGCATGCGCAGAATTACCCTATCGCTGTAGTCTACCGCCACCAGCGCAGTGACCAAAACGCTCTTGCCTTCATTGCTCTGCGGAGCTGTTAGCTGCCTGCTCTACCATGCGAAGCCAAAGCGAAAAAGAATGAAATAAGGAAACAATAAACAGATTATATTATTTTCGTCCCTGATGATGTTTATTTTAAACTTCATGTGCAGGGCGCCTGGGTGGCTCAGTTGGTTACGCGTCTGACTTTGGGGCCGGTCATAATCTCTAGTCCTGGGTTCGATCCTACATCTGGCTCTGTGCTGAGAGAGTTCAGAGCCTGGAGCCTGCTTCAGATTCTGTCTCCGTGTCTCTCTCTTTTTCAAATATAAATAAACATTCAAAAATTAATTAAACTTCGTGTACAATTTAATCAAAGAGTTGCAGTGGTGAATTTCCTTTAATCAAAGGCGAGCAGTGGTGAATTTCAGAAAGATTTTCCCCTCCCCTACCTAGCTATAATACTCTATAACAATCATCCTCTCCCCCATAATAATATTTTTATTAAATTAACTGGCCTGCAGGGTGAATATGGTCATAATTGCAAGAAGGTTGCGAAAATATTTTACTTGACAGTTTTTGAGTGTTACAAGAATAATGTTCCAGACTTTTTGTTGAAGTCTTTTATGCTGTACGGATTGCTTTGTACTGAGTAAACTTTAAGAATGGGAACATGATTGACTGGGTCTATGCCCCATTTCCCACACAGAGGGTCCTGATGCTTTCTGCCGACCTAAGCACACACCATATGTTCCATGAGCATAGACCGGGTTACCCCGTGGAAGCTCAGAAGTCTTTCAGAGAAGCATTGACTGGGTGCAACCTTAATTAACTAATTACCCAGGGTGGGGGGCGAGGGGAGGGGCGGCAGGCAAAACCCTGGGAAGTCAATCTAACCTTGTTATGTGAAGCCTTAGTATCTGAAATGTTTTACAGATATCAAAAAATAAACTTTACACAAAACGCTGTCCAAATACAAATTTGATGTTGTGAAATCCTTCATAAATAGAAATCCAACGGCAGTGTTCGTATCATGCTTTTCAGACTGGCTAAACACCCAGTTTATCAATGTGTACTCCTCTGGGTGAAGCATGTGCTCCGTTCCCACCGAATGACACAGATTTCAAAAAAATAAGTATGATTAATTAGATAAGATAAGTGACTGATGTAAAAAGTTCCTTCTGCGAGCTCTCTGGGCTTTTGCGTCCAGTAAATGTTACAAGGCCCTTTAAAGGCAATTTTTAAGAAACCCAGCGAACTGGACTTCTTTTGAATTTTTTAATTAAAAAAATTGGAATTCTTTTTTAAAATTTTTAAGAAATCCAGTCTGATAAACGATTTCAAAGAGAAAAAGAGGGAAATTATAACCGGTGTGCATGACACTATACCACATAGAAAGGTGATATAAGGGAGCGCTTATGATAAAAGTATTAACCACATAGTGATAGCGGTGAACTAGAAAAAACATATTTAGCTTTAACATCGAGTCAATTCATGTAAATATATAAACACTAGTTTATGTCATCTCCCCCCCCGCCCCCCACCCTGGTCTCATTTTTACTTACTGTTTAAACATTAACTTCTGAGTCCCTCCAGCTGACAAGACACACTGTCAGGCTTTGACGACATCAAAATAACAATCATTACAGTCAGAAGGAAAGACTGTGACCCTACAGTACACCCCACAGAGCTGAGACCTCTGTGAGGTCTTGTCTGCCTTTGTCTCTCCTTTACAGGGCGTTTTCTAGGGGTGAGAACAAGTGGTTAGTTCTGCCCCTCATGGCTGTGACCTTGGGAGCTCCATTTCGATCTGTAAACTGAGGACCCTGGAGTTTCTGCTCTGCAATTGCAGGACTTAGTTAGGGCCTTGGGCTTGCTGCAGCGATGGGGCAGCTCTTCCAGCGGCTGTGATCCTGAGATTAGAGGCTCAGTCGCTCTGTCCCAGTCGCCGGCCTTACTCTGTAGTTCTCCTGTCATCTGCTCAGAGCCTCAGACTCACCCACCACCGCCGAGGGGCCTGACTTCATGGCAGTTGGTGGCGCCTTCTGAAACAGGACACTGCCTTGGCCATAGGCTCCCAAAGTCCCTCCACCCAGTTTGGCTGCTCTGTCCACACAGGTCAGCCTGCCACACGGCACACTCCTGCCAGGGGGTATTTTTGTTTTGTTGTTGTTGTTGTTGTTGTTGTTTGCACCCTCCACAAATCCCCCCCCAATCAATATAAAACAAAACCAAAACACAAACAAAACAAATAAACAAAAACTTCCCAAGAACTGGTTCTAAACATCCAGTTTAGAAAATTTGCATCGGCCATGCACCAAATTTCCCCCCAAATGTCATTCTCCCCTTTCAGAAATGACACTGCTTTCCAGTTGTCCACACTTCCTAACTCTCCGCACGGTGGCGGTGCTTTCAGAGGAGAATGCTTTGTCTCCGCTCTGGGGGAGTGAGTCCTTCTCTCTACCTGCTCGCTTACTCCTCTGCAGTGAGCCACCTGGCTGCTGAGTTGGCGTGAGAAGCTTGTGTTTCTGCACTGGGAACAAGGATGAGCCAGGCAGCAAGGTTCTGCTTTGCTCCTCCATGTCTCAAGTGTTCGAGAAGCAGATTCTGCCCCCAGTGGGAGAAGGAGGAAGAACATGGGAACGCGCAGAAACAAGAGTATGGCTACATGTATCGCCAACTGGCTTCTAAGCTTTCTAAACACGGGGAAAGAGTTTTGACTAGTTACACAATTCACACTGCCCACAGGCTAGAACTTCAATTCCCATTACTCACAGCAGAAGAAAGTTCCCCTCAGGATCATTATAAAGAGAGGGATTGTGTAATACAAGGAGCGGTGCCTCCGCAGGGTTCACACAAGAAGCCAACGTTGCACTGAACATCCCAGAGCTACTACTTAACATGGTTTTTTGGGGCGCCCGGGTGGCTCACTCGGTTAGGTGTCCGACTTCGGCTCAGGTCATGATATCACAGTTCGTGGGTTCGAGCCCCGCATCAAGCCTTGTGCTGACAGCTCAGAGCCTGGAGCCTGCTTCAGATTCTGTCTCCCTCTCTCTCTGCCCCAGCCCCACTCACTCTCTCTTTCTTAAAAAATAAGTAAACATTTAAAAAAATGGTCTTTTTTATGGACCAGTAGTACCGCTGCAGTGGCAAAAGCAAGTCTGATTATTGGGGGCGTGGTGGATTAGGACAGTAATAGCATAGAATTCATGCCTGCATGTCTCTGACTGCGTGAGTTAATCCCATTGTCAATTAGAATACTATGAGCAAACTGGGGCGCCTGGGTGGCCCAGTCGGTTAAGCATCCAACTTTGGCTCAGGTCATGATCTCATGGTTTGTGAGCACAGAGCCCCACGTCGGGCTCTGTGCTGACAGCTCAGAGCCTGGCGCCTGCTTCAGATTCTGTGACTCCCTCTCTCTCTGCCTCTCCCTCTATCTCTCTCTCTCTCAAAAAATAAATAAACATTTTAAAAAATTGGAATACTATGAGCAAATGGACTGTGTAGCTGCATGCCCTTCAGGGAATTTTCAGTAAGCTTCTGATAGATATTGGGCAGTAAGGAGTTCGAAATTATACACCCTAGAAGGTGCTTTGAATGTGACTTTTCTGTCTTGTTAATTTAATAGAGACCCACTAAGCCTTAGTGACTAAGCTAAATAAAGCACCAACCTAGGGATAAGGGTGGCATCTTCTTGGGCAGTCAAGGGGCCAACAAGGACACCTTGGTGCACAGAAGAGCAGACAGAGCCCCGCCTGGCTGCACACACAGAAAGTAGGGGGAATCCGGTGGCCGAGACATTGGCCTTGCTGATGCCAGACGTGAGGTCGCAACAGCACTAACCAAACGGTGGCCCCTGTAGACGAGAATGTCATAGGGTGTGGGCATCTGAGAAGTTCTTACCGCAGGCTGTTCTTCCTTTGCAGATTTCTTTGGACTCTTAACTCTCTTGCTCTTACCAGGCGCTACACTGAAGGAGGGCGAGCGTGCCCTTGAAATGGCTCCGGCCTTGGAAGGAACCACGGGTTGTAAGGGCCACGGAGACAAAGGCGATTCTTTCCCCTTGAGTGTTTTCCGGCCCTGGCACACAAAAGCAACCAGCTTGGTTATTCTCACTTCCCGCTTCCGGTTCACGCCTCTTTCTTTTCCTCCCTTGAGCCGGCGTTTCAGGGTAAAGTTTCCAGTCCCAAAGGGCATGGGTCTGTTCCCCTCACTCCCACTTGGCCTGATTGAATTTGCAGGCTGGGTCTGGTTTTCCACTCCTCCCACTGATGCTGGTGTACCAAGAAAAACATACCAACAGATTCAATGGTTTCTGGAAGCAGCTGCAAAGGTGGGGTGGAGTGAAGAGTGGGATGCAGTGGCAGCTTGCGGGCTGTCACTGATTTGTGGGAAGCCAGGGAATAGAAGGTAGGAGGGAAGGGATAGGAATCTGAAGAGACGGGGCATGAGCCTAAGGCTTAGTGTACCAGGGGCCCCTTCCTTTCCCCTCAGCCAAGCTTGCCTTCTGGTCAGTGTACACTCCCCCTACTGATCTCAGCCTTCAGGCTCCTGGTTTCCCACCCACACTTTTTTTTTTTTAAGTTTATTTATTTATTTTGTGAGAGGGAAAGCATGAATGGAGGAGGGCAAAGAGAGAGGGAGAGACAGACTCCCAAGCACGCTCCACACTGTCAGTGCAGAGCCTGATGCAGGGCTCGAACCCACGAACCGTGAGATCATGACCTGAGCCCAAGTCGGACACGTAACTGACTGAGCCACCCAGGTGCTCCTCCCATACACACTTTTAAGCATGTTCTCCTTCAGACTCAGATCTCAGGAGCTGAAAAGTCTCGGTATGGTATGTATGCATTCTTCAACCCAGATGCCAAAGTAAGACACACACAGACTGAAAGACAAAAAAAGAACTGAAATTTAAATGCAAACCTTGCTGCTTAGGCTGTCGATCTTCTTCCTTATTTCCATTTCCTCCTTCTGTTTATTAATCTGTGAAATGGAAGACCCGTATCATTTGTTATCATTTACAAAGACTCCAAAGGAGAATTTTCTAGTGAACTTCCTCAAGCAGCAAAAGCATAGAATTATAAACCCCTTGACTGCTAAAACTATCACGAGGATGTAAGTTATAATGTTGAATATGAACTAGAAAATACATTTGTACTCAGAAAAAGAGCACTTAAAAGAGGTGAACAGAAAGAAATAAAATCGTAAATGTTTAAAGTCATTAGCATTTATTCATTGTTTTAAGCCTAACAGAGATTCTAGAGAAATAAACATTGTTTGCTTTTGTGGTAATAATTTGTTTCATATATTACTACCATAGCTATAAATCCCAGGCCTCATAAAATTTGTGAAGAAACTTCAGATAATTCAACAGCCAGACTTCAATCATATAATGAAGAGATTTTGATTTAAAGAATCAATTCTAGTTTCCAGGCATAAAAGGCTTTTTATCATATGTATAATCGAGATATAATCGACACATAATGCTATATTAGTTTCAGGTCTGCAACATAATTCAAAATTTGCATCTATGACAACAAATCTAGTTAACATCCATCACCACACAGTTACATTTGTTTCTTGTGATGAGAACATTCAAGATTTACTCTCTTAGCAACTTCAAATACACAATATAGTATTATTAACTACAGTCACCATGTTGTACACGATGCTCCTATGAACTCTTTCTATTTTGTAAGTGGAGATCTGTACCTTTTGACCACCTTCACCCATTTCACCCATGTCCCACCCTACCCACTGGCATTTATAAGTTCATTTTCGTAGGTTTTCTTTAGATTCCACCCATAGGTAAGGTTATAAAGTATTTGTCTTTCTCTAATTCCCTTTACTTTGTATAATTTCCTTAAAACCCATCCATGTGGCTGCAAGGGGCAAATAATACATGATTCACGCATGCTTCAATGATGTTAAGCTTTTTTTTCATCATATTATGTTACAAGTAATGGCAGTGATCCTAATTCTGGCTAATCTTATGGAATTAAAAAATAAGAAATACCTCTAACCGTTCATCTCACTGGTGTCTCATCAATTACATAGCTCTCCCCTACAGAGAGTGCAGAATTCAGTAGAAGGCAGGTCTGTCTCATGAACGATTGAGGTCTGGGGGGAGGGTAACTGATATCCATGGAGCACCGCATTTGGGGGAACCTGGGCAGGTGTGCTACGATCAAGGAGAACACGCAAAGCTGGGATTTTATTTCAAACGCAAGAGGACACCACTGAAGGATTTTAAGTGGGGGGGAGGGGTGTATGTGTGTGACATGATAATATTCATATTATGAAGACACAGTCTGGCAGGAGTTATGTGTGTCCCGGCTGTGTAACTGCTGGGAAAACAACCCTACCACAGATGACAACTATAAACTCTGGGAAAAAAATGTAAAAAGAAGCAATTACCTGAAGACAATGGCTTTTGACTTGACAGTGATGCCCAGGCCATCTGGGCAGAGCACCGGAAATTGAAGGAAAACCAGCAGCCTTTCAGGACGCTGAGCACACGGTTCAGGGCAACCACAGCCAATGAAAGGCCCCAAGGCAAGGAGACCCCCAGGAAAGACTGCAGAGCCCCAAAGTGTGTGCATGGATTTTGCCCAAACTCTAGCTGATGCCTGAATGATGCCTGCAGCGGACAGAAGGCTCAAAGACCGAATCAGGACTGGAGATGCCTCCACCCGCCACGTGTGGGACATGGCTTGCATTTGATTCCAACCAAATTCATTGCCTGATTTTTAAAATTCATTTATTTTTTTTTCTGAGGGAGAACGTGAGCAGAGGAGGGGCACAGAGGGGGACAGAGGATCCTCTGCGCTGTCAGCACAGAGCCCGATGCGGGGCCCCAACTCACAAATCGTGAGGTCATGACTTGAGCAGAAGTTGGACGCTCAACCCACTGAGCCGCCCAGGCGCCCCCTCAGTGCCTGATTTTTAAAAATGACACATAACATTCGTAATGCCCTTAAAATCCCCAAGGGCTCCACATACAAAGGTGTGTGGTTGATCTATTCTCAAGGGAAGAGACTATTAACAGACTGACGCTCAGACAGTAGCCAAAACTCTAGTGGAATGAGATCTCTAAAGTGCTGAAAGAATGAAAGAAACCAACACTGTCAACTGGGGATTCTGTGCTGAGAGAAAGTATCTTTCAAGATCAAAGGCAAAAGAGGGGTGCCTGGGCGGCTCAATCGCTTAGGTGTTGGACTTCAGCTTAAGGTCATGATCTCTCAGTTTGTGGGTTCGAGCTCCACATTGGGCTCTGTGCTGACAGCTCAGAGCCTGGAGCCTGCTTCCGACTCTGTGTCCCTCTCTCTCTGCCCCTCCCCTGCTCACGCTCTGTCTCTCTGTCTCTCTCTCAAAAATAAACAAACACTAAAAAAAAAAAAAAAAATTGAAGGCAAAAGAAAGATGCTTTTGGGTAAAAAAAAATAGACGGACTGCATCACCACAGTCCTGACCTATCAGAAACTCTAAAAGAATCTCCTCAGACTGAAGAAAAATGATCCCAGGGAGAGCCTCCAATCTTTAGGGAGGCATGCAGAGCATCAGAAATGATAAATATGTAGGACTATTTTGTCTTAATTTCTTTCAAATACACACAACTTTTTAAAGCAAAAACTATATGAAAATAAAATAATAAAGCAAAAATTATAGAGGCAGCTGGCTGGCTCAGTGGGTAGAATTCACAACAGTTGTTGTGAGTTCGAGCCCCTCATTGGGTGTAAAGATTACATAAACAGAGCTGTAAAAAAATAAAGCAAAGATTGTAATGTGATGCAAGTATAATACATAAAACAACTTTCACCCTACATGACTCACTGGTTCTGTTTTTGGGCTTTGTATTCCCTTCCATCAACCTGTATGTTTATCCTTAGGCCAATATCATTGTACCCTGACTACTGTGTCTTTAGATTGAATCTTGAAAGCAGGTTGTGTGAGTCCTTTAGCTTTGTTCTTTCCCCAAATCATTTCAGCTATTCAATGTCCATGCATTTCCATATATAATTTAGAGGAGATTGTTGATTAATAATAATAATTAAAAGAGCCTGCTAGAATTTTGATTGGGATTGTGTTGAATCTATAAATCTAGAGATACCTGAGAGCTCAATATGCATTGTCTCAATCATGAATATGGTGTGTTTTTTCCATCTATTTAAGTCTTAATTTCTCTCAGCCATGTTTTGTATGGTTTTGTACATATTTTGTCAAATTTATCCATAAGCATTTCATATATTTATACTAGTATAAGTTGTTTTTATTTCAATTTTTCATTATTTATTGCTTGTATACAGACGTACATTATTTTTATATCTTGAGCTTTGAAACCTTGCTAAATTCACTTATTAATTCTAGTGGCTTCTCTCTAGATTCTTTAAGATTTCTTATATAGATGATCATGTCATCTGGGAATAAAACTTCTTCTTTTCCAATCTGGATGCTATTTACTTTTATGCTATTTATTTCTTTTTCTTTTATTATGTTTTGTTTATTTATTTTTTATTTTTTGAGAGAGAGGCAGACAGCATGAGCAAGGGAGGGTCAGAGAGAGAGGGAAACACAGAATCAGAAGCAGGCCCAGGCTCTGAGTTAGCTGTCAGCACAGAGCCCAACATGAGGCTTGAACCCCCAAACCATGAGATCATGACCTGAGCTGAAGTCAGATGCTTAACCAACTGAGCCACCCAGGCACTCCTATTTATTTCTTTTTCTTACATTATTATACTGGCTAAATCCTAAACTACAATGTTGAATAGAAGTGATAAGCGCAGAAATTCTTGTCTCATTTCTGATCTTAGTTTCAATCCCCATGAAACATGTCTAAGTGTTTTGCAAATACCCATTAGTAGCTCTATTCCCATTTCTTTGAGAGTTTCTATCACAGATGTGTATTGGACTTTCTCAAATTCTTTTTCTACATTTATCTGTCCCCTGGCTCCCCCATTTTACATTTTTTCCCATATGCAAAACACATTCATCATCACCCAAGCCTCCCCCAAATCCCATCCAGTTACAGGGTCAGCTGGAAGCCCAGATCTCAATGTTTACTTATTTGAGAGAGAGAGAGAGATTGGGGAGGAGAGGCAGAGAGAGGGAGGGAGAGAGGGAGAGAGGGAATCCCAAGCAGGCTCCACACTGTCAGCACAAAGCCCGATACGGGGCTCCAATCGCGACCTGTGAAATCATGACCTGAGCCAAAATCAAGAGTCGGACGCTCAACCGACTGAGCCACCCAGGTGCCCCATGGCTAATCGTTTTTGAAATTCATTCCTTCATGTACTAGTAACAGATATTTGGGTATCTATTCTGTGGCCGCCACCATGGAAGGCTTTGGACAAGATGCAGCTCCTGCTCTCTAGTAGCCTGCTGGATGGTGACAGCAGATACCTCAACAGGCCCGCTGTACACAGTGTGAGGAGAGCCACATGAAGGGGGCCATGTGCTGTGTCAACCTATATAAACACCTCATCCAGTCCAGGGCAGCAATGGGGAGGGGTTCCCAGAGGTGTTATCTGATCTCTGACCTGAAGTATGACTAGAAGCTAACCCAGGGAGGGCACTTTAGGAAGAGGAAGCCAGAGAGAAGAAACCGAACTCTGAGACAGTTTGCCATAAACCTCCTGATTTGGGGCAGACAGCCGCATCTGCTAGTTCCGTAGGGAACGAATTGCTACAAGGGTGTGTGGGCTTCGTGGTAATGGATTTTGAACACACCCGCTCACAGGAACATTCCTTTCACAAGGTCTGCCCTCTGCCTCTGTGACTTATCAGGAGATCATAAAGGCAGAGCAGGGCTCCCACATGGCCAGGAGTGTGTGGGACACATTTTCTTCATGGTGGGCAGCAAAGGAGAACTTGCTCCTCTCCCTGTCATGTATAAAGGGAGGCAGTCACACTGAGCCACTACTGTGTCATGTTCATCTGCATTAAGAGCAACTATTCTTGGGGCACCTGGGTGGCTCAGTCCAGTA